ATTTTTAAAGGATAAGCGGTCTCACAAATTTAATATATAAATGTTGCTTGTAAAAAGGAAGAAGAGCTACCTGGTAGATTCACCCCAGCAAATTTTGGTTAACGTATCACTCTTAAACTGCTTGAAAGACTTATTAAATATATCTATGATAGACCCCAAAGCACGCCAAACTTTGAAATTATTTTCTTATGAAATCAAAATCTGTATTTCATTTTATTAAAATTTATAAATAGTTCTTAAGTTAATTAGGAAATGCTAGTATTAAAATTAAGCTAAGCAGCAATATTTTGTTTTAAGACGGAAAATATTTTGAACATTCTTATGAATGATTAAATAAAAAAAATCTAAGCTGAATTTTGAACAGATCACTTCATCACATTGAATTATCATCGACCAAAAGTGCTTGAATAAAATCTGAATTTGATAGCTTATCAGCAAATAGGATAAAAATCGATGACAAAATTCCACTCACAATGAAACACCATAAATGAACTAAATAAAAGCTTAAATTAAAATCAGAAGATAAGCAGTGCCAAAAACCAAGTTAAAAGGATTTGATGACAAAATAAACGCACTTATTTTTCTTGACTGCTTATTTTCTTTTTCTTTTGTTGAATAGGGAACAATAGTGACTGTCATTATAAGCTCGAAGGACCTAAAACACCGTTTTATGTTCCATTAACTATTACGTGACGTTTTGCAGTGCATAATATAGCACAATTAATTGATTCTTCCATACTTTCACAATCAGCTCACGTAAAAGCCCTTTTTGTATTTTCTTCGCGTTAGTAGAAAATATTTATGAGCTAAGGAATATTCAGTTCATTACACGTTAAAAAAGCGGCATGTATAAAATTAAAGAATAATGATATTAACCTTTATCCTATTAGTTTTGCTTTGTTTTAAAATGTTGAGTTTCAAATTAATATAAATATACTTGGATGCTCGCTATGACGATGTGCGCAATAAGAGCTAAATTTAAGACAGAAAAGTTGACCCTAGTCTAAAAACAATGCAAAAGATTATTCTAAAAAAGCAGCTTTCTCATAGCCAGAAACTGTGTGTTATAGGTAGGTAAGACTCGCGCCAGCAGCCAGTACCAGTGGTTAATTCCTCAGAAAGCGTATAGTTTTCCTCACAGATTGAGTTCCAGGTGTCACAAAGGAAGTTCTCTTTTGTCTGCTTCATGATTTCGTGGTCCTTCATAATGTCACCCGAACAGCATTGTAAAAATTGCAGTTTTTTCTTAGAAGTTGCTATAAGAAGATAGCTATTCTTATGCAGATATACATGGAAAGAACGCTAACCTGCATGCAGCTATGAATTTTTATGAGTCTTTTTGGTTGTTTACTTTTGGCAACTGTATTGGGCTTCTAAATTCCATTCAATTCTTCGGAGTATGATTAAGATTTATTGCCCACTCAAAAAAAGGCGGGGGGATAGTTTTATATCTCCCGTTTTACTCAGCCGATTGATGAAATTCAGTCTACGGTTTTTGTGTCTCGAAAGCTCAACTTATGCATTAGATTTATTTGTTTGTTTTGATTTAGCTTTGTTTGTTTGTTGGTTGTGATAGATATTTTGACTTATAAGTAGACTTTTCCAGAAATGACATACCAATTTTTCTCGTATTTCGATTCTATGCCTTAAATTATGCCAAAGTGCCATGTTTTGTAAAAATCGAACGAATAATTTTTTGAAAAATTACCTCTCAAAATTTTAGCTCTTCGATGTTACTATAATTTGGCATATTTATTTATCAATAAAGTGGCTCACAAAATTGATCGGACATTTTAAATTCTTTGTATTCTTTAATGAACATAAAAACAAAAATAAATTAAAACAAACAGCAAGGCTTTTATTTTGATAATATATAAATTCAAAATTCTTTTTATAGTAAATAAATTTACAAAAATATGAAAATTAAATTCAAAAATCAATATCTTTATTTTTTAATGAGGAAAGTATTTTTGCAAAAATAGTTGGACACTTTAAGTAACATCCAAAAATGTCAAAACCAAATTTCATAGCGCATAGTTCCAAATTAAAATTTAACAATATAAATTAAGCTTAAAGAATTTGACAGCTTGGTTACAGCCCAGCATTTAGTACAAATAAATGAAACGTGAATTTCGAACATTAATCCTCTTTCAAAGAATGTTTAAAGTAGCTAGTTTTCCCTCATACTATTCCAGATTATGCAAAAAAACGCGTTTTTTAATATGGAAATTATTAATCTCAAAAGCTGTCGAAATAATACGATTTAGGTCGTTTGCATCCAGATCTAGTCATCGGTAGGATAAAATAAACGCTGCTTTCTGGTGACAAAAGAAGTTTGGAAGATGCTTTATTTCTTTGTATTTAGTAAAAACGTTTTTCACTCCAATATTTATCCTTTCGTCTCTGCTTTAAACTTTACTTACAGCTAAGTCGTCTAGGAAGAGAAAATCAGGCTTCCTGAAGATGCAATCGAAATTTTAAAAAGAATTTGACCATACAAAAATGTATGAAAATACAAATGTTGAAAATCTTAATATTGTGTCACCATTGGAAACAAATGTAGAAGAAGAATAGAAATAAATTTAGAAGGAACGAAGGCAAATAGAAGAAAGAACAACAATTTAAGGGAAAATCCACAAAGAAGTTGGGTGCTCAAGGCGAAAATACGTCAAATATACCAGCAAATAGGCTTGTGCTAACAGAAAAATACAAGAAATATCATCGCAAATGAAAGTGAACGGCTACTTTTCGTCTGAATGAATGTGTAAATTTATATTACGTCATAGAATATCATCATATCATATATGATGCCATAAATAGTGAATACCAATGTGTCTCAGTCGAATTAGTTGAAGATTCAAGAATTTATCCAAGGATGTATATGGATATCATCTAAAGATTTTTTCCCATTGATGAAACCCGTCTTTGCTTTTCATGCCTTCAAAATGCTTAGCCTCTAAAGATATTCAGAACCCTGATAAAAGTCGCTTCCCTATTTTATTCTGAGTAAACACTGTTGAAACGGAAGGCTTATATGAATGTCAGAAATATCAAGATGTTTCGAAAATATTTGTTATAAACAACAAACAAAATAAAGTTGGATGACTTTTTTAAAATATATTTGCAGAATGCCTGAAGAAAAATGGCAAGGCATTAAAAAGGAAAAAAAAATATAAAAAGTATATGAGTATTTTTAAAAATAAAAAGTGAGTATTTTTTTAAAATAAAAAAATTGAAATTTTAGAAATGAATACTTTGACTAAAATATGAATAATATTTTAAAAAACTGAAAGTTGGATAATAAAACTGTATAAATCACAGTCATAAAAGTGTAAAGCGATGTATGCCACTCTTTCGAAATGTTGGTTATACGTCTTTCTCATTCATGTAATTTACTGGACAGCTCATTGAAAGAGTATTAACTGTGCTTTACTGTTTTTCTCTTTCAATGTATGCAGTTTTCAAATGCCTCGTTGTCTGGATCCCAAAGTTTTCTTTCAAAAGAAATTTAAATAAATAAAGCCAAATTCTCGAAAGTTTATAGTAATAAACACGTTTAAAGTACTCATTTTTGAATGAATAAACAGGAAATTTTAAAATAATTGTTTGAAGAAATATAATTTAACCATACAGCTCAAGCAATAATAATGAAATTCTAGAAAGGAAAAAAAAATATCTGAAAATAACAGCTATGATTAAACAATATAATATAAAGAAATATATTTGAAAGAATAAACGATGCACTTTTTTTAAGTTCGTGTACAATGAAAAGGAAATTGAAATTGGTTACTATAAATTAAAAATTTCTTTAAGTAAATTATTCATGACAAAAACGAAATAATGCGCCAAGATAAAGTTTCGAATTTTTTCGAAAGTTTCTCTTCAAATTTCACAAAATTTGGTATTTAGGCATTTTTTAAGGCGTAAAATAGAAATATGGAAAACAATGGCATGCTATTTCAGAAAGCGTCCGATTTTCGATTTTGTGTCGAAATATATATGTTAGAACAACCGCTATGTATAAATCTAATACATATTCTAAGTCACACTTTCAAGATATGAAAAACGGAAGTTGAATTTCGTCTATCAGCTCAGTAGAATGGGAGATATAGAATTATATCACCCTTTTTTTATTTTTGTTTTTAAGTGGTGTGCAGGTGTCTCAGATTTTGTCAATCGACTAGTGCTAGAATTTGCTATTGATCTGCGACAAATAATAATGAACATAAATTAACTATATCCATTTAAATGTTTGAGAGAAGTTTAATATTTGCAATTCCTCAGACGCTAAAAGGCGATGATGAAGCAGAACATTGAAGGAAGTTATCTTTCTGTTACTCTATGAATGCTGCCGTAAATCAGTATAGAATAATAGTATTCTATCGTATTGATTGACGTAATATGATAAACTTATTGTTATGATACCAGTCAGTTTAGCATGATAGAATAACAGTTTCAACACTTATTCTATCAGCACTATGTATTATGGAGCATATAGCTATGGTCTCTTGAAATTCTGTATTTAAACTTTTTTATGTGAAGAATAAATAAACAGTATTTTTTAAGCAATGTTTTCATTTGGCTTATTTTCTTGCTTATCTGAAACTGGTAGATGACCGGAAAATTTAAATACCATATTTGGATTCAGCAATATAAAATCTATTACATTCACTCAAAAAAGTTACATGAAAAACACTTTAAACGCAGAACAATATAACTAATTAAGCCAAAATCAAAAGATACTTATTCAATTCAAATGAATGATAACAAAATTCAAATACTTCAGAGTTGCAAAATGACATTAAAAATTAATCTAACAAATCATCAACATTTCTCCAAAATTGATCGCTGCAATAAATAATTTTATAGTTATTGTATAAAAATGCAAAGAAAAAGAATAGGCAATAATGGAAATATTGTTAAGAAATGACTTGTTTTTAAAATTGATGGACAGTTAAAATAGCAGATAAACGGCAAGGATTTCAGATCAAAATTCTCACCCATAGCTTTAATATTTTTGAGGGTGTTTCGAAGTCTTGTTCTTGGATGTCCACTTTCCGTCAAGTGAGGAGCTCCATCGCCCCCTCTGTTGCGTCTTAATCCCAAGATCAAACCCTTAAAGACAGAAAAAAAAATTATTTTTCTATCTTCATAAAGAGAGATTTTCGAAGAAGAATTTTGAAGAATCATCGTAATCAGAATATTAACCGCACAGTATTTAAAATCGAAATTTTATAATTGTAAACTCTCTACAAATGATCACATCGCCTATTATTAGATTACTAAAATATTAGCTATAGCAATAGCTGCTTATTATTACTTTATAGAAAGTAAGAGGAATTGAAAGCAATTAAACTAACATTTACTGTGTGGGATTCCTCACTTTGTAAAAGCTAAGTTACAGTTGAATGTGAAGAATCTTAAGAATTGATAAGGGAATAATCGCTTGAGTTCGTGTGACAAGAAACAACAAGATGGAAGGGTAAATAACCCTTTATTATTCAAATAAGATTTAACAGAACTCCATCTTGGAGTGTACAATAAAAGCCGACACTTGGGCTTGAAATTAAGAGGCTAAGAAGTAAACTAAAACTAATCTAAACTAAAAGAGATATAGCCGAAACTATCAAGATTCTAACCGAATTGGCCCCTTAACGATAATTGACTGCGAAGTTATCAAGGGCCTAAGTACGGCCGAGCGTAATAATAGCTTACGAGAGAGTAGCCTAAAAAGGCAGACGCGGACAGACAGAATGCCTGGTAACTTTCTCCCTAAGACCGGAGAACTTCGAAGTTAAAACCGCTCTTCCTCATTATGTATTCAGACGTGATTCTAAAACTACTTTCTGGCCTGAAGTTAAGAATCGACAGGAAAGGAACTTAAAATTTAACTGTTACTAAAATTAACATAATCCTTACAACTGAAACCTAACAGAGTACAAGATGATATCCATCTTAGGGTCTAGTCATATTATTGGTGATATGACACTTGCGCACATGGCAGTTCTGCGCAAGTGCCCTGTGGGAACATGAAATTTTTTAACAGGTGGAGAATAAGTGACACCTCTTCACAGCCTGTCAGAAACAATCAATCAGCATTATGATTTTTCTTAAGTATTGTTCATTGCTGTTTTGATGGTTGACGGTCGTTCTGAGTGTTTCTTATATATGTTTTCCCCAAATTCTTTTAAAAATATTTATGTAATTTATGAATTTTATGCTTGATGCTATAAAGCTGCTGTCACATATTTGATACCTTGCATCACTTACGAGAACAAAGATATAGATCATTCAATAAGAGAATGAAGCATCTGGCCTACGTACTCAAGTACAGCAATTCAAATTTCATTGTTCTATCGTGATATGGTATTAGGTATTAAATCATATTCTCTATAGTAAACTCATGTAGTGGAAAAATTACGGTATTATATTGGCAATAAAACTTTTCAAAAGCTCCCAGTCTTTTTCTCATGAATTTGAGATCGGACAATCCCTTTGATGCCATTTTTGACGATGCTGGCTGAATGGCGTCCGAAATAGATGAGGAAAATTTTGAATCAATATCTGGACATCAAGAGCGTCGGCTAAAATGACAGTTTGGTTATAAAAATCAGGATGAGTCCATAGACGATGGAGGGGGAAAAATTCAAAAATGAAATCTTTTACCACTTGGTTGACACTGCAATGAGTTCTTTAGAACAAGATTTTCTCAGCTGCAGCATCACAACAGTTATTTCTGTTTCTATATTATTATATGTGAATTAAAATATGTTAGTTCTTCTGTAATTATGACCAATTTCAGAGATCTGGAAACCATTTAATAGATGAAAACTAATCGGATATAAACAGCCTGGAATTTTATGATGAAATGTCAGTCGTCTGTTTTGTATTGAAGAAGATTTACCACCTTTGGAAGTTTTGAAATTGATAACAAAAATGAATTTTGCTCCAAATTTGAGGATTGTTCTAAGAATTTTACTAATTCTTCCAATAAGTGTTGTATCCGGGAGATATAGTTTTTCCAAACTAAAAATAATCAAGAACTATTTGCGAATAACAACATTCGAAACAAGATTGCCAGACTTGACTATATTCGAAACTGAATATGAATTTAAGAACAGTTTAATCGTATAGTAATGTTGATGTAAACGTTCATAAAACTTAGAAGTATTGTAGCAGAAATCTGATTACAATGAAACCTTTTTACCACGCCCACAAAAAGTTTAAGACAATTTTATTGTTAAATGGATGTGGTTTTTCTCTTTGGAAAAATGGCTTTTGCTGGTGTGCAGCACATATAGATTATTTATTTTCTGAGAAATATTAACTACTCTTAGAGCTGGCTGTCTGTCTTGACTCGATGAGAATCTCGATGACTCGATGACTCAACGATTATTCCTTTGCATTATGTTTCACAATTTGTGTAAAAGGACTGAATTCATATTCAAAGCAATTATATATTACTATATTTTTTAAACTATGTTATTAGCTAAATTTATTTGCTAGTATAATAATTTGATAATTGCGCTATTTATTTACACATTTATAGATATGAAGGAAGATCATAATAAGAGATTGATTCTGTAATTCTAGTCATAATAAGGCATAGTAATTCTATAGTTATATCGTTCATTTATATATACACAAATAAATCAAACCGAAGACTTTTCTGATAATAGAAAGCTATCATTACTTACATTTTCAGCCTGATCGTCTGGAATTCCAGCTTCACTTGAAGGAATAAATTTATGTCTTTGAACATTGCCTCTCTTATCCCATGCTGGGTTTCCAAAGCCTTTGCCCCAAGGATCAAAATCCTGAGAGAAAAGGAATTAGTTTTTTTTAATCTGTATGAAACCTCTATTTAGAAGTTGATTAAATGAACTTAAGGGGGAGCAACATAAATTGTTGGTGTTCATTTTTTATTTCAAAATTCTTGTTTACCTTGTGCTTAGTAGAAAAAGTGCAGAATGTACAGAATGTATAGAAGATGCAACATTTTTCTGTTTCAAGTTTTTATCTACATTTTGTTTTCACTAAATGCCTTATGAATATGCAGCGCTGTATGCGCCAGTTTGCGGTTTTTGATGAGTGTTTCTTGGTGCCCTCTATGAGTGCTGATTTTTAAGATAGGGGAAAATGAGGCAATATACCAGGAAATACAGAGCGAAGCTTTCATGAATCACATGCCTTTTCCTAATCTATATTGTACTCTGTAATTTTTATACACACAAGACAAATTATTTTATATAACACAGGCAAAACATAGAACGGTTATCTGCGTAAACTTTCCCCCGAATTTTTATCAAGAACATCCCAAGGGATGAAATCTCTGGCCTTTGTATCCATCTTCTCCTACCATCAACTTCTCGAGAGGATTTTCTACTCGACAGATTTGAAGTGTATTAAATTTTCAAGACTTAATATTATATGATTTGAATCATTTTTAGACACGTATAGCATTCAGTAAGCTTTAACCGATAAAAGTGCTTATAATTTGATATTGATAATAGAATCTCACAAATTCAAATGAATAATATGAACAACAAAATTAAAACAATCTAATATAATAAAATCCTAATTTAAAAGTTAAGCCTTCTACCCAAAATAATTTATAGTAAAATATTTTTTCTTTCTATCAAAGAAATTAAGTATCAGATTCTCTTGAAATGTAAAAACACTTTTATTGAAATTATGACCAGCTTAAGACTGAATTTTGTGTATGTTCGAAAAGAATGAGTTTGCTTTACTTACTTGTTGACTATTCTTGTTCTTTACTGTGCAATATTTTTTAAACTTGATACCAAAGCAAATTTTAAAAACAGGTAACTACTGAAAAATCACATTAAAATACAAAAACATAATGACAATTTTACATCTTACATCGTCATTGATCTCTATCCGTTTCGGTCTTGTAGGCATGAAGAGGGGATCTGAAAGTAAAAGATATGTGCTCTAAATCGCAAAGTAATAACCTATATATTTATAAGAAGGTGATTCAAATGAAAACTTTTCAACTGCAGTAAAATTTCGAAAGGTTGTACAATTGATATTATTTATCTTGGGCCTTGGAGAATGATTAACAGATGGCAATATGATGCTACTTCACTGAAGAAGAAAGCAGTGTCCGTGAAAAAATGGCTGTCCCATTGTCGGCATGAATTGCGTTAAAGTAATAATCTGTGATTCTTTTTTTGAGTACTTAAATTGTTAAATGAATTGAAATTCATTGCAGGATGAAAGCATAGTATGGTGATTTCGTGTGTCTTCTTGCAGCAAGGGTACGAGTGGCGTACGAAGTTTAGAAACAGTTAAAAGGGGCATTATTTCTGCGGAGAAGCTCATTTTATCGGCAGGTCATGATCACTCTCGTCTAGAATGCAAATTAGGTTATTTGGGAATATTACATGAAAAAGGAAGTAACGGTGACCAGTATTTCATATGCAGATTTGCTCGAAAAGCACTTTCGCATTGAAATCAAGAGTAAATGACAGACTTTCGACTTCAGGTATACTGTTACTGCAGGACAATGCTCTTCTGCATACTGCCCGTTGAACGACTGTAGCAATCTAGGATATGAAATATGAAAATCTCACGCATCCATCTATAACCTAGCTTCTTCATTATTAATGATGTTTTTTCTTCTGTTTATGTGTGCAGTGTGTTCACTTTGTTTTTGTTGGAAAATGTTTTTTTCTGTTTGCTGCGAAGTTGAAAATAATATTGCTACGAAATGTACAGGCGAGCTAAGATACCTTCCCCGCAACGCAGGTTTAGGGTTGCCAGAAAATGGCAAGGAAGGCAGGGTTGCCACATTTGGCGACAAAATTGGCGATATGCCATGGACGGATGGAGACCCTTCTGGAACGAATTCTTACCGGTTTAACCCAGAATGTTCTAGAACACAAGCCTAAAACTATATAAGCCCTGCTGTTACGCGGAGAGTGCGAGATAGTTAGTGTCTCGAGTTAGTCAGTCCGTGCGGAGTCGATCGAGTTGACAGCCGGGCAGCGAGTGCCGAGTGGGTCGTCGAGTGCATCGAAAGAGTCTCTTAGTGTATCGCGGTTAGTGCATCGTCGAGAGAGCGTGTTGAGCTCCGGGAACGACTGAAGCGAAGAATCGGGAGCTGTCCTCTGTGTGTCGTCGAGTGCATCGCGAGTTGTAGCGGGGAGAGTCTCGAGAGTAGGTGGAGTTCCGAGAACGAACGAGCAGAGTCGGGAGCTGTACTCTGGTGCTTTGCAGTGAAGCTGTCTCCACCGTTATAGCCCGATAACCTGAAGGCTGTGTCGCTGATTGTTCCAGTGAGTGTATAGTACATCTTCGATGACTGTAAAACGTGACTTTGGAGCTGTCCTGATTAATATTGGCTAACCAAAGTGTGTTTCGATACTTAACAAGTGTCGTCGTTATTCACTCCAAATCTGCAAACCCCGTACGAACGTGAAGGAAGAAAAGAACGCAACAATATTCACGGGGAACAATGCTTATAAGTGCAAGCTTTCTGCAGAAGTCTTAGCTGTACGAAAGTGATGCTTTTCAATGACAACCACGGAATTTTTTCTCATTGTGTGTTATTGTTGCCATGGGAGTGCAGGCGATTCCTGTGCCAAGCCTGTTGGAGGGTCGCAGTTTCATTCATCACCAGCGTTTTGACATTGATTTGAGCACTTTCGAACAAGAATTCTAATATTGGCGGATAGGCGAATGTTCATCTTAACGATTAATATTTGCAGCCAAGAACAGTATCTTCACCATACCCTCTGCGATCAATAGTTTCTTCTTATTTGGCTGATATAAATTCACGAATATCCTATTCTACTTTCTATAATTTATTTAATTCTTCGATAATTCTGAGTACTGATTCAATTTACGTAAAGAAATAAACTTATTCTATACACTAAACTGCTTAAATATTAACAGTATTTTTTGTATTCGTTATAATGTGAACTATTCCTTTTACCTGAGCTATTTTCAACTACCCTCGAATTAGCCGTGATTTCGAGTTAGACGTGGACTTTACTTGCTTAAAGTTGATGTTTGTCTTTATCAAAGAGCTCATTTTTGATTAATTTGTCCATAATCCTGAGTTACCATTATACACACATTTGGTAATATGCACAGTTGTTTAATGTCTTGAATACTGAGACTCCCGTTAGTGTAGTCCCCTGTTATTTTCACAGTGCCATGAAAGCCATTAAATAAAGAACGGGCTAAATAAAGAAAGTCACATGAACTTTCTTTATTTAGCCCCGTGGCATATTTTAGTGCATAAAGATAGCTCATCACTAGGAAAAAGCTACTAAAATAAGCCAATCTCGTCTCCGCTAAAGGAGTCAAGCGACTGATGTCAGCATTATATTTCTAATAATTTTTTCCCCATATTTTTTTTGTGTCCATCGTTTCTCATGAAATGGCATTTCCATGTACTCGTATGTTGGAGCGATTTGAAAGTGTTATAAACATGCACATATTGTACTAAAAATCATTTGTATCGAAGTATGAAAATTCTTTTGTTCACTTGCTAGTTGAAGTACCCTGTGTTGCCCAGTTTTTACGCAGAGGCTTCATTTTAGGAGGTTGAGAGTAGTTTTTTCGAAATCTCAAGTAGATAGTATAGTAGTTAATGATTATTCGCACGAAGACACGTCCAAGGAAATAAAGAAAACTAGCTTTTCTAATAAGTACACGCGATATAAAAATAAAAAACTAAAAGGTATGTCTAAATTAACAATTTTTAATAATATTAAAATTTCGTGATCATTTACCGCCTCGACTTTCAATTCAAGGGAAAATTTTGAATAACCACGATGGGTAAAAATTATAAAAAATGAATTTTTTTTAATAGAAACATAACAATGACGAGCTCAAATCCTATATTATAAAACAAGAAATAATCACATGAGGACAAATAATAAAAAAATGATTTTTAAACGAGAAATATAAAATTGACGAGGACAAATTCTGAGTTAAAAAGCAATGAGCAATCGCACGAGGAGAAATCATACAAAATCAGTTTTTTTTATAAAAAGTGAATAAAAATGGTACAACGATAAAATATAAAAATATATATGTAATAAAATTCCATAATCAAGAATACACTTAAAATTCTAACTGTATGTTCTTTTCATTTTTCATGGCGATGTTCTCTTATTTGAAAGTACGTGGAATTAAATCCACAGCCCCGTAATCAAGTTGTTTTTCCCGCCTTTTCTACACGTACAGTTATAGAATGTTCTCGAGATATTTAAAGCGAACTGGATTGGCTGACGAGGCTGACGTCATTTCTTGGAAGCTCCGCCTTTCCAGAGGCTATAAAAAGACTCGCAAAAGGAATATCGGGGCTTTTTCTTTAATGCAACAATGCAGTAAACTACATACAAAAAGTTATTAGTAATTCTTTTTATTTACTCCGGATATCTGACTTTTGTAATTGCTATTTCTCCTGAATAATAATAAATGGATCCTGTTTTTTAAACTTATCGTCTGATTATTTAAGCTACGACTAAAGCTGATACATCACATATATAAAAATACATTAAAGATCGAATGAAGATACATTTTAAATTTATAATAAAATGTATAGAAATGAATGATAAAAGGTAGAAAATGTATATAAAAAAGCATAAAAGATGGAATGAGGACAAACGGCACCCAAAACGGGAGGCCTTTCATTAAAAATAATTATGTTTTCAAACAAATTTTAGCTAAATACTTTAAAAACCATCCCTTTTAAATCAGCATTTACATAAGGTGACCAGATTTTCCCATTGGTTAAGCTATACAACATTTACTGGAGGAGGGAGGGCGATTAAACATTTGGTCTAAATGAAGCAACACAAATTTTTACAGAACGAAAAATAGTATGGTAATATATTTTTAAAATTTCAGCACAAGTACTATTTACAAATTACATTAAAAGAAATTATGTGTAGTATTACTTTATTCTTTGGCATACTTCTCATTTGAATGAATTTTGTTTTAGTAGATTGCTGTTGTTTGAAAGATCATGGAATTTTTCCTAAGAATTTGTTAAATTATATTTCACACATAAAATGGCTTTCATAATCCTTAACGCTTAATTGTGATTTTTCTGATGTCCGCACATTATTTACCGAAGAAAAAAAGTGCTCAGTCGCAGCATTAGTTCCTGGTAAGGCCAGGAATATTCCACAGTTTTGAGTGCATTATTGCAAGGAACATGGTTTGTTTCAAAATGATGAAATATTTCTAACCATTTGTTCTCTATTGTGATTTTCGTTGATGTCCAAGATTTAACCTTTTCTTCATCAATATATTTTTTATTAATCATATCTAATTAAAAAGATCGTTTTCAGAAATATTACTATATGGGAAATTTTGAGTAATATGATCAAATGATTTTTGCACATTCCAGTTAAGTTCTTGATTTAATATAACCCAATGAATATGTTCAATATTATTGTAATGTACCATCCACTCTTCTAAATAACCTGTGCGGTTACTACAGAACTTGTTAACGTGATTCATGAAATATGCACAATTTATTGCACATTGTTCTTCAAGCTGGCTTATACTATTACGGATAGTTAAAGGAAGAAAATTATTTTCTAACCGTTCTTGACATTTAAATTTTAAATTATTAACTTCATTTGTTACCTTGATTACTGAAATTTTGTCACCTTCAGTATGTTTTATAGCATTTTGAAAACGAGATGCTTGATTGTATAAAAACTCTAACCAAATTTTAGAAGATTCTTTTTCAGAAAACTCTTCTGAAATTCTAGGATATTTATCCTATGATAGAAATTAGGATTTCAAAGGATCGTATATTTCCAAAATTCTTTCGACAATTGGCAAAAGAGCCAACCCGCGCGTTTTACTGTATCCAAGTATTTTCTGATATTCCACTTCCGCAGTTTCTCAAAATTCTTTAAGCATTTTAATGCGCACAGTG